TGGCCAAAAATGGTCGATTTTTGATGAAAATGCATGGGCTATAGCCCACCAAATTGGCCAAAAATGGTCGATTTTTGAAGAAAATGTAAAAATGTCCCATTTTGAACAATATGATAATAATGCATGGTCTAGGTCATTAAAAGCCTTGATTTTTGTTTATTTCTGTGGGTGGTTATAACACATGACCCTTATAATTGATGTTTTTTTCTTTTTTTGTTGGGCTAGTATTGCGGACTATATTTCTGTTTGAGGTGTAGATTGGCGCATTCGTTGTAAGGAGATGGCAGTCATCAAAATAGTTGAGTTTTTATTACGATTGAATATTTTATTTGAATGTTTATACTGCAATTCAATTTTATTAATAAAGTTATTATTATTATTTATCGCAGTTTCAAAGGTATCCTAAGKAGTCTCGTCCTTGGTAAAAGGGCTACTTGGATGAAAATTGCGAAACATTAGAAAAAACTTGGAAATCAAATAGACCTATTATGGGTCTAATAATCCTGAAGCAACAGATTTCAAGAAGATATTGATACAAATCCTTAATAATTTGGACAAAAAATGTTGGAGAAATTRCGTCCTTTATTCCATCTTTTTGTTCTTTTATCTTTTGAATCAAAATTTTTCTGATGTGGGACAATTCAAAAACAAATATTTTCCCGCAATTGTTTTTAATAGATATAAATGGGTCACATATTTGTATTGCCTGAAGTTTTGAAATAAGGGCATTTTCATGCAAGTAGCACTTTAAGTGTATTCTTTTCACTTTTCTAATTGCTTATGTTCTACAGTTCGCGTACTTTCTCTTTTCTCTTCATAAACATAATGTTCATTAATATTTTTACCGACTTTGAGGTCATCTTGAACAAGCTATATTTAGCTCTTCAAATGTTCTTATACACATCAAATCGTGGTTTTCATAAGCTCTTGAAACACCGCACTTCAGTACCGAGCTAGAATGGGTGATCGTTAGCCTTTTACTCTACATAAATAATCTTTCACAGGTGATGCTCATTGTACATCTTATCAGAAAAAAAATTGAATACAAAGATAGTGAATTCCAAGACCGCAATGCATTAGTGGAGGTTGTATCGCCGTTTAAAATGARTCTTTGTAGATATACCAACTTCGTTAAACGTTGTATTTGGATACGAGTATTGGAATGCAATGTATTCAACTTTTTCTGAAATACCTTTAAACTGTACGTACTGTAATTAACTTATCGTTTCACGCTTTTTGATGAAAACCGGGTCATATTTGTGTCTATCTACTAACAGTTCTTTGCCCAAGAAGGCCTACAACTCTGATAATCAAGTCTTATCTTCAAACCAATGACAGGAAACCATCAGGCATCAAACTAGTAGCCCACATAACCATGTTGATATCCAAATGACTCGTCCAAGAACGAGCCTTCTGATTGGACGAWTTACTCCAGAATGTGTTAATCTCATCGATGATTGGTGAATATGTTAGCAATTTTTCCAAAARCGATGGAAGATGGCTGCACTGTTTGACCACTTCGTTATTGTCAGTCAGATCTTGATGTATCTTTTGGATTGCTTGMAGCCCTATCGATAATCCCAGTTCTCTGAATGCTAACCGATGTTCAGCTGACTTTCGTGACTGACTTGGGTACCTATAGAAGAAATATATATTTAATTTACAATTGAGCTTTTCAAAATCTATTTTGTATCAGTTCGGCGGTTCCGGTCCAGTTCCTGACTTTACGAAAGTGAACACTGAAATAYTGTGATTTTTTACTTGCATGTTTGGAATTCTCATGATAACGAAGTAAATGACGTAACACTAACTAAAATTTTGAATTATAAGGCTTTTCTAAAAGCATTCAAACTGAGACCTGTCTTTATTCTAATTCTGTGTAAGATTTGGGAACCCTGTGGAGTCTAGTGGCGGGAAATAACTAAGCGCGCGTCGCGCCGCAGCGTTTGCAGTTTACGAAGAGAAAAGGAAAGTGAAAAATGCTGTTTTTGAGAGCATTCTTTCCAAAATAATACAGATAAACTAATAAATAGATAAGTACAAATGCGGCATGGAACTGCTGGTAAAGATGTTTTACTCTGACGCTATAGGAGCCATTTATTATAGGTAAGTCTAATGAGTGAAAAAGTAAAGTAAGGCTTAATTCAATACACAAAAAAGCTAAGTAGATTCTACTGAACGGCAGCTCAGATTTTACTCGAAACACTTTATAAAAAGACAATATTTGAAAAACATGCATACAACGTCCGCATTTTAATTAAATCGCATCAAAGTTTTAATAACGSTGCCATCACCCTCTTCACAAATAATAAGCTTATAGCTATCTGAATCAATCGTCTACAATGAAGTGCTTCACAAGACGGTCAGTCATGAGGACTGACTATACTTGCCTATTGTGGACATACCCATTGAGACCTTGGTCACATGCTTGTAATATAATAGAGAGCAGTTCACCACTGCCAGGAAAACCACCTTCTTTTATCAATGAATACACGCGATAYGCATYACATAACAGCCCACCAAGACCCAGTGGATCAGTCGTTGCCCAGTCTTTGCCTTTACAAATTGTGAGCATGTCTTCGATTTGGCCAGCGATAGCTAGTTTTTCTTGATCTTGWGGGGACAGTGCTTGCTGGATTTGAAGGTATGTTATGTATCTGTTGACGAATACTTAGTCTTAGTATATAATCATACAATTATGGACTACTACAAATCCAGTATTCTRATTGGCTAMTGARCTATTATATCACATATCAGACACAGTCAAAAATCTGATAATCTCATTATTTTGATGACTTTTTTAAATTTGAACAATTTTTTTATGACATTCATCCCAAGAGCTTAAATGCATATCTAGGGGAGTTAATTACTTACAACAAAATTAGGATCACAAATACAAAATACACACACACAACAGACATACAAAACAAAAAACAAAACAAAAAACGAACAGAGTTTACAAACGTTTAAAAACGTTTAATATAAAAAAATCTTTTAGTTTCCCTGACAAATGTTATTACAGAAATAAGAATCTGACAACATTTTCAATCTCATTTCCAATTTTCTAATGATACTTCCACTACATTAGGTTGAAAGAATTGGCTAATCTCTGAAAAGAGGGAAAAAAATCATTATATTAGATCCCATCTTCTGCAGGTAATCCTGGCCCTGAGAGAAAACTGTTGATATCACATCATCCAAATGTGCTGCAAGGAGTAAAAATGCAAAAGTAAGATTTGTACAGTTAAGTTTTGATTGTTCAACTTACCCATCAAGAGGATCATGGTGTCCCATACTGCGCACTTGTGGYCGACTTAAATCAATACTCATTTTCCAGTACATCCTTTTRCYACCAAATCCTGATTTATAGGTAAACTTATCATGYGTTCCCTTAACCATCTCYGCTGCTAGTACATTGAAACCACTATCACCAGTAGATCTTGTGAGACAGTTCAGTGCATGCATCCACTTTGTCAGATAGTGAAAATATTGACCATCTCTGTCCCATTCCATGTCGTCRTCRTATGTTTCATTTGATTGACGCTCTGGCAGTTTCTTGCCAATCCGCAATCCTCCACATGTTGGATGGGTTTTGCCTTCAGAATCACTGAGTCCACTAATCCAGCCCTACAATAAGATTATTGAATAGTAGCTAAAGTTGAAACTTCACTATTTGGTCACTAATTTATAATAGCATAAAGTAATATTTAATGTCGATTTCACATAAATCTGTTCGATGGAAAAATTATAGGCAAGCAAGTTATCAAGCTGCCATTAGCTAAGTATCTATAAATTTCTTGAATACATAAACATAAGCTTACTTAAGAATAACCTTAATTTAAAAGCCGCTCATTTGAATTTTTTTCAGCTGTCTTGGTTGTCTTTTGCTTACTTTTCTGGTATCGTCAGAACGATGTCTTCCTAGGATGTCATGCACACTGTCGACGAGTTTAAGCGCCAAGCGTCCATAACTTTCATCTTGAGTAAGTTTTTGCAGACCAAGATAGTTGCAAACAGCAAAAGCATCGGTCCAAAGATATCTACGAGGAGTCGAGGATGAAGTCAATCCTGTGTTGACTGCAAACTCGTCCATCGTTCGTACGACAGTGGGGATGTTTGCCGACATGATTCGCTTAGCCATACAACCTTCTCCAGGTTGGCGAGGCAAACAAAGAGAAAAGATAAAGGTAATATTATTCCAAGCTAAAATTACCTCTTATTATTAAAGTTGTGTTTTTGTTCAAACTAGAACACAAGTCTCCACATTCACTAGAGTTGGAGGAAGATTGGTACGAGAAGTGTCTAAACGCTCAGAAAGAGTTTGCTCGCGCAGAAGAAGAGTTTTCTGATCATCGGATTAAAAACAACAACAACAAACAAACAACCAAAACAACAACAACAACAACGACAAAACAACAACAAAAAAAAACAAAAAAAAACATCATTAATTCTCATCATTAATTCTCATATTTTCAGGCCCTGCATGATTTTAGAAAAGACGATCCTTACCCTCCAATATATGGGAGCGCCCCCTCCCCCCTTTATCTTACTTTTCTCAATTATGACTCATCAGTGTTCCTAAAGATATCAACAAAAGATTTTTCTCAGAATATCATAGCCTAACTTTGTTTTAATCAACTTAATGAATTCAACATTTTTATTGTATTAAAATCAGTGAAAAAGCAGAATTTAGTCTACAAATCGGTCTTTTGATCTTCTTAATATCTTCCATTCTTTTTGGCCTATCTTCCATGGCTCTTGATCAAACGCTTGACAATTTGCCCGTTTCGCAGCTTCACAGATGTATCTCCTGTGCAGTTCCTTTTCCTATTGCTGAAAGAGAAAACAGACTGTTAACTTATGGCATTGAGAATTAAGAGTAGAATTCTAAATGGCCAAATCGTATAAGTAAACAGAGTTTATAAATTACAAGTTGTGTACGGTTGCTTCTCAGTCTTAATCGCGCACTCAACGAGCTTGCAAACGAAGTACCAATAATTCACATTCAGTATTTTCGTTGTTGTTGGTGAATAAAGTTTACGTATAGCGTACACGTATACACGTAAAGGTTTACGCAGGGATGTTGTAGTCCACGAAGAAAGCCTTAAAAGATCATGAGCGTACTGGGCCAGTCGATTCTTATAACCTCGCCACAAGAAGAATATAGCTCGTTCAAGGATCAATCAGACCGCATGCCGGAGCGAAATGAACAACACCAAAGGTTCCGTTTATTGCTGAAATGCCTTATCCTAATAATCGATTCTTCATGACGTAAATCTATGTTGTTTGAAATCATATGCCGCACTACTACATCTTCGAATAAAACTGCTCAAAAATGATAAAGCTCAAATTGCAACTCAGAATCGAATATAAGATCAACCTTTAATACTAATTACCTTTTCTTTAAGCCCGAGACTCCTTTTTCCAAAATTGATACCAGGAAAAGAGCCCTGTACAGTGGTTGTTTCGCTRAGCAAACATACCACCATTAAAGCAAACARCCACCTGGAAGTYATTGCGCTCCGTGATGCCATTCTCAGTTCTGGACGTTCTGTCTGGAATAAACTCTGTTGTTGATGGCAATGGACCTTAAATAAATCTTTATGGTCTTTCKGTGCAGGTGGGAGTCATTGACCAGGTGTTAGAAAAAAGTGTCCCATTTTTGAATATTYTCGATATCTACATCAAAAACAGAGACTCATCTCAGGTCATTAGATAGCTCTTAAATTCTTAATGTGTTGCTGCTGATTTAAGGTTAAGAGCTGGAACAAAGCAAATAGTATTATAACTAAAGAATTGTTGATTAGTGATCACAGCAAACCTACGCTAATATATCACTTCTTCACACAGTGACACACCTGATAACTGAATGGTCGAAACTAGCAGTAAACTAGTGTGAACTGCTTCGGTAGATAAATTTTAACACCGTCAAAAATAGTGGGTGAAACAACTTCCATTTTTTCCTCATAACTGAAGCCTAAATTGATTTTGAATGACGAACAATAGAATGCACTTATAAAAAAATTGAAAAAAATCAATCATTTTTACTTAGCCTAAACAAAAGTAGCCAAATTAATGGCTTGATTGTATGCTCTTTCGAAATGTCTACGACAAAATTTAGCGAACAATAGCTCTTCCGTAATATTCTTTTGAAAGGAAAACGCCCCCACAGTTCAATACCACAGATTATTGAGCTGTGAAAATGCGTTGGTGTAAAAAAGCTTATATGTTATAGATCACTGCTAAATTCAAACACTATAACTTCTGGAAAACACTCTTAGCTCTAATATMTTTAGTATTGTGTGCCAATATTGCCCGGATAATAACGTTCGAGGACCTTATACAGTCTTTCCGATAGCGAGTGTCTTTTGTACTTTAGAAAATCGATATCTTCTTTTATAGAATTAATTTAGCGTTGATGAAACATGGTTTAATTACAAGTTTTTCTGTATTAAGGACAAAGACGTCATTTTGATGCTTAATAGCGGAAAAGTAGTCATTGCTGACTCATAATTCAGTGTAAAAACGCATTTTTATTCAGTAAATTAATTGTACTTGCTAAGCACGATACTGACGTTTAAGGAAGCATTATAATGTAAAATACAATATATGACTGATCGTGGAGGCAAGAGAAACRCGGGGGCTAGTTTGCTTCTGTGTTGTGATCTGGTGTTAACCAGCGGTAAACTAGTATGACCTGCATGCGTCGGTGTTTCTAAATAAACAGTTGTRCGAAAAGATAAATTTTAATACCGTAAAAAAGTAGGTGAAACAATTGGCAAGTTACTGACGTTTCGGACGTTTTAACGTCTAAAATCCTTTTTGCTCAAACTAAGGRTTAACGTCCGAAACGCTAGAAAGTTGTTTCACCTACTTTTTTACGGTGTTAAAATTTATCTTTTTGCGCAAYTAATCTGTTGTGATCTCCTGATCATCYATCCTTGCCATACTACAGGATGCGTCCARTRGTCTCTTGAATATGCTTTGATTCATGCTCAATTTTGCTTAAAATCTTTCTGTCATGTTTTTCTTACATTGCGACTAGCTCGATATATCAGTCTCAATGCCTGGACGATACTTAAGATCCTATTAGATGACAATCGGTGAAATGGAAAAGAATAGTATTAACATTGATCTCTCAAGTGTTTTTATTAAGAAAGTAT